AATTACTATACAAAAAAGTCGAGACAGATGCTACGACAACACTGAAAATATTACTCGAATAGTTGGCTAAGTTTACAAATAGCATCTTAAGAAATATTTTCCTTTCCGAATCTGAAAAAGACAAAAAAATCGTTGAAATAGGCTAGTTGTTCGATCAACCTGTGTTTCATTGCTATAGCGTCTTTCTTAAGCATTGTACAAATATCCAAGGCTGCTTATTTTTGCACAGTGGATGTGGTGAAAGTATTGTTTATTTTCCTTTATATTTCCGTTGGGACCGAATTCAAGTTAATTGAAAACCCGAACGAAACAGTTACAATGGGCTTGTTGATGAAAAAAAGAGCCCTTTAACGTGATGTAACCCCGGATTAACAACAAACGTAAAATGATGTAGAAAGTGATTAGGAGAGGAGACCGCTTAACACCTGAATTCGCTTTTCAAAGAACGACGTGACCCCATATCATAAGTATACGTATCGTACACACAGGATGTAGACAGATCTTTGAGAAACGCACTGGAACCCACGTATGCTATACTTTCAATGAAAAAAATTTGTTAAATATGCGAACTATGCTCTAATCCTCCTCCCAGTAATTTCTGAAGATAACTCGATAGCACCATATCATTAATGGCGAACAATTAAGTGCATGCCATGCTAGAGACTTAAATTCATTCAGAGACAATTCATATGAATAACAAATAGTAATTACTTTATATGACCAGCCTAAAAACAATAAACGATCGTTTGCATACTCCAAAGACAACATCTGCTTGTAAAATGTTGCTCAAATCGACTCATACAAATAAAAACTAAAAAAAATCGACCTCGATTAAGCTTAATGAGCTTAAAGAACCTTTCAAAAAAAGCACAACGATATATATCACCGTAAAATATCACCGTAAAGGATGCACCGTGAACATACAAATGATAAACTAAACTAGAGATTTGTAACAAACAAACCTATCACCAATCGAATTTACATTGTACAGATGCAAATTGTATTTTCTAGCAGATAAACAGTAGAATAGAAAGCTGTCAATTCGTTTTATCTAGGGATAGCTAGCAGTGGTTCTGCAGCTAAAAGAAAAATAGTAATTCAAACTTAACCAAGAGAAGGTAGACGTCAGCTTTTCGAATAGAGGGCGGCTGAATTTGTCTTCTATTGCTGCTGTTGGCTAGTGGTGGTTCGAAGAGATTATCACTGAAGTGCGTAGTGGGGCTACAAGTCACCATTACTTGCGACTTCGCTTGCAACAGCTGTATTTGAAGTTCGTAGCTGACGAAAAAGTTCTTTTAGACGATTACAAGAAGCGGCAGCGACGTAGCAGGCAAAGACGAGATCATCCTTAATCGTATTGACAAAATTCACAGCAAACTTCCCAAAGACCAGGCATATAAAAAGTACCTTGAGCTACTGAAGATATATCGTCAGACTTCAGTGTGGTCATTAGTTTTCGTTAGACTTTTTCAAATAAGCGAGGCTACGTGAGATAGCCAGGGGCTACTTGCAAGATATCTAGTCAGTTAAGTTAGCCAATGTTTCTTTATCGTTCAAGTTCTCCCAGTTTGAGTCCGACAGCGTAGAAGCTGTTCGACCATAGACAATCCAAAAATGTTCAACGCTTCTCCTGAAGCTGTTGAGAATGTCTATTGTTACTCCTGCGGCCTACCAGCCATGGTACTATAATAGTTCTGGTTGGATCTGTTGTGTTCTCTATCGGTTTCCTTCTCTAGGAACTTCTCTGCTGTTCATTCTGTTAGACACATCAAGGCGTATGTTTGCAGAGGGCCCACCCCCGAATAAGACAGGGCTACATTCTCAGACTCACGATTAGCGTGCAACTTAAAGACAATGATTGATAATCATGTCTACTAAACTACAACGTCCTGCATACATTACTGACGTTCACACATAGAATCGACGCCAACGTCTACAGGCAGCTATTCTGCTTAACCGTTTTCTAAGCTTCTGCCAAGGAGGTGCTACCGTAACAGTGAGGCACAAAAGCTGATGTAACGACTATAACGAGTGTTAGTAAAATTACGAATAACACATCCCATTTCTAGTTGGGTTAACAGAACGAATTAACAGGAGCATTCCTATATAAAGAACTTTGCCGAGACACTCTGTTAGCAGTAGCACACATCCAATGATATTCGTTGTGCTATTCATGCGAATTTTTAAATTTACTTAAACTTAACAAAAGCGGAGGGACATACAAAGCCTAAGAAATTATTTTGGTTGACCAAATACTGTGGAAAATGGCTGCCCTGTACATTTGATCTAAAGTGATCGGTTTGTTTAGCTGGTGCTTTGGTTGCAACGCTGTTAATTCCTGTGTCCGTGTTTAAAAATAATTAAAAACCTTAGTTAGAAGTAGAAGCATGCAGAAAACACGTTGAGCTGTTACGTACGTAGCTTAAGCCGACGCAAGGCGTAAACTTTATGCGCAACTATTTAAATTTTGATGGGCTTTATTTTCTTTGCCATACAATTTTTTTTAACATCGTTGTAATTACAAATACAATACAAACTTCAGTCGTTCTGTCCAGTACACCTGTAATACATATATATTACAGGTGTACTGGACTACTCGTATATATGTATATACGAGTAGACCTTTTTCACGCATCTTACAAGATAATCTAGATAAATATTCAATTGTATGCATGGAGCAATCTACTTTTATAAATCATTCACTAGTGCTAACAAATGGATAAAGTTTCGCGTGTTTTTTCATACAAGAACGACTCTAAATCTTTATCACCCTTTTCGTCTTCTGCAAGTCAGCATGCAGCTCCATACGTTATACCCATTCCGTCCTCAGCCTTAAAGGTAATCAATATAGCTTAGGTTCATCTTCTTATCTTGTTGATTTTCTTACATCCCGGGTTCCCTTTACCAGCGTGACTACCTACGGGAGGCGGCATCACCCGCGTAGACCGTTTTCTATCTCTTCCCTGACACAACCCCACCCAAACGAGTCTTAGCTTGTGTTCACTTGGTACGCTTTCATGTAAATCGTAGTAGCCCTTAGTTTGTCTACTTCCAAAGCCGTGGCAGAAGTTTCACACTATCTTAGAGGCTGGTGTCCCAGAGATATCGTTTATTGCATACAGAAAACGTAGCGGTTACTTTGTTGAGTATCATCACATGTGTGAAACTGTATAGACCGCACTTACGCAAGAAATAAATCTGTGGACGCGTTACCTACACAATCTGAACAACCACGGGTGCTGGATCCGCTCACTGGTTCACTAGTAACCACAACACGACACACCTTAATCATTAAAAGACCGCGCGTAGGACAAGCTTCCCTCACCCGTCATGATGAAAGGATTCAATTTTGCTAACCTTGAACTATAACATATCACCCCGCGCAATTCGGATAAGGAGTGAGTACCCAGCACGTACACCTACTGTCTGCAGGTAAGCTGATGAAAATTATTTATTAAACATGAATTAACAAGCTTATCTGTGTACCCAGAAACGCTTTGTTCTAGTTTAAATAAAACTGGAAACCTCAAGGCAATGCTTCCTTTAAGAGAAGCTTAAGTAAAAGTCATACGGGTATCAATATTTACCGTCAGTATATAGCCGGTGGCATGTTAGAGGATTTACGTGTTAGAAATTTAACAGTACCATTTGCCATTAAGCTTTATACTTAATTGCTAGAAACGCAGATCATATTGATCTTATTATTCTAATTGATCGAGGCACAGATTACACCGGCTTTTGCTACGCAGATCAAAGGCTACAAGAACAGGGATGAAATATAGACACTACAATTACAATTTATTTAACAAAGTGGCAAATTATTGCATTGTTCCAGAATGACATAAGAAAAAATTCCAAACCTATTTAAATGACTTTATCAGGATTGCCCTGCTGTTGCGGATACCTACTTAATTATTTAATACAGAACCATTTAGTCGAAGACACTAATTAGATTATAAAACTCCTACCCGCTTGTTTATTGACGCAAATTTGAATTCCAACCGATGTATTTCAGCAACCGATGGATAATAGGTACATGTAAAGCTCACGAACGTGAAGATAAATGTTCAAGTCAGTAGGCTTTCCTTTAAGAGTGGAAATAGAAATATTCCAATACAAATGTAGCAACACTAGAAATCGTGTAATCCGGAGCTTGCCATCATCAAATAACTAAAGTCTCCGAGCAGTATTTTCCGGAAGTCTTTTAGAGCATGTTACAAAATTATGTGCATTTTTAAATACTGTTTCACGTCACAAGCCCATATATCGTATAAGTCCAGAAGTCTTAAAAGCAGCTTACAGGTACGTACAAAAAACTACCTAACTGTGGACGTATATGACCTCTCCCGTATAGTGATCACGGTAGAGACTGCGGTTTATCTTATTAAAAAATAAAATGTGTTTTGACAATGGTTTGGGCTGTTAACTTATTCATTTGACCAATTTTTGAGGAATATGGATTTTTTTCGAACGTTCCGCCAGCCCATCAAAAAGCAACAGCTATATGTTCTATATGTAACTCCAGCAAAAAGTAAAATATCTGGCATGGATCACACACATTTTGAATTATCAGACCAAATAAGAAGTACGCTGCTCGAGTCATCGGTCTGAAAAACAACCTCATCAAGGGTCTGCTACAGTACCTAGCTCAGTCAGGTAATATAGAAGATTCTTCATAGTGTAGTTAGGTTAACTCTCAAGGCTGAGGGTGGTGTAATCTTAAAATTCATACCGAAATCGACACCTTATAAGGGACTTAGAAGTACGTGTAGGGATGTTGCAGGTTTTGCCTTATTCCTGATACTCCGGTGACAAATACAACAAGTTTTGAATCTCTTTTAGTAAACCGTACCTTTTCGAGCCTAGAATAGAAAAATATCTGTTTGAAGACTAGTCAATGAATACATGCATAACTAATGATAAAGAAAATCTAGATGGCTACATAGAACAGGGGGAACAGGTGGTTTTGTGTACGCACTTGTAAACATTGGAGGACTTACCGTTTGGAAAAACAGCACGCATTTTCAAGTAAGACGTAGTAAGGCGTATAATTGAGGCTTTGTCCAGCTGGGAAGTAATGGCCTGCGGGAGAGGAAGTAGTTTTCCAAGTTCCACAAATTCAAAATTTTCCTTTTCGCGGCGCGTGCGCGCGGCATTTTTCGATTTTTCTTTCATAGCCGAGTATCGGACTGATGACAAGGGGCCTGATAGTGATCCGGAACCACCGGAATCCGGTGATGAGGCTATCGAGTACGAACCCGTAGAAGGTGAAGCACAAGAACTCTCTCGCTCTGGAAAAAATTACGATAAAGTTCTCGTTAGCTGGATTTTCCTTTTTGAGTTGAAGCGAAATGTAATATAAGACATACGTTTGTATATATATATATATATATATATAGGGGAAGGCTTTGAGAAGCTGCTTGTCGTAACGTGCATGCGCTCATCCGCTACTCTTGGTATCACAAGAAAGCCAGCTCTTTCTAAAACGAAGCAATAAACGTACTGGATGAACCCTTACCAAGAACTAAAGGTCCCTTTTTTGCTCGAAAATTATGGTTTATGTTCTTGCCAGCTTCGTGCGACTTAGTGAAAGTCTGAAAAAACCTACATGTGCCAAATCGGAGGATCTTCAATAGAATTTACGTTAAAGGGCTCGAAAATACATCAAAATGGCTCAAACGCCGTTTTCAGCACACCTTGGTTTTTGATACCGAAATGAACGGCCGTTTTAAAAATAAGAATAACAAATGCCCGTTGGATTGTCTATCGCTTGTCCGTTAAAAGCATTGAATTCTTGGGACATTCGGGTTGCTTTCAGCCCAAAGTTTAGATCATGTAGCAGATTTGAACAACACTTCGACGAGCTTACACCTATAATCTTTTGACGCACGGTTGCTATTAATAAGCTACCTGTATTAAAAAAAGGTTAATTTTGAAAATAAGAAGTTAGTGGTTCATAGCCCGAACTAAAGCTGCAATCATTGTGGATGGTGGCTATATCGACTAAGCATAACGGCCAAAAGTGCCACTTCTAAAACATTAAAAAAATCGTTTAAGTGTCTCTTTTTGTTCCGACAGGGTCCTAAAAACGGAGCATAAGGAAAATTCTCAATTTAGATAAGCCACAGTGTATATAAACTATATATCTTTCATTTTGAACACGCAGGCAAAAATGTTACAAAGAATTAGATCATTGTGCGTTATTTGCACGACATAAAGGTAATTATTAGTGGATTGGGCGATACTAAAGAATAAAGATATTTTAGTTCATTTAGTGTCATAGCTTAAAGATGACTCGGCTTTGCCCACCGTTTCTCAATGTCTGCAAATCAAGATGGTGGCATAAACTAAAAATAATAGGTAATACTTTGAACTGGTGAACAACTTCATTTATTGCTATATTTCGATTTTGCACTCTTTAAAAAAATAATAGCTGTTTGATAAAAAGGACACTGTGCTACGATGTGTTCATGTAGAAACCCCATTGAGATAGAACAGCCTTACATAGAAAACCGCACGATCAAACACGCACAATATATATCCACAAAGCAGTTTTCGTATTATATGTTGTTTGCTGAACTTGGAAGAAGGCAAGCATAGGTTACAAAACAAAGTATATCATGACACGAGAGAGCTTAAACTAAGCTCTTATGTCGTGAAATGATCCAATGAACGTTCCTAAAATAATATGCGAATATACTTACATAACTTTTTTCTCAAAGTTACCAACACTTTTAATTGCCGAAACAAGTTCTATAGAAATCCTTTAAGAGAAAATATTGTTTTGGATTGGCCTCATATCAAGACTTAATATATTGTCGATCCAACAGATGTGCCATTAAAATTCTCTTCCGTCAAAGGTGTTATCAAGCAATGCATATTTTGCAAATAGGATTTTGATTTTGCGAATTATGCAGCAAATTAATGCTATGAATTAAACCATGGTTCTTGTTTGGACTTCAGTTTAGCACAACATGGTTTTAAAGTAATTTGTAAGTTAATCGTGCTCTCTTATAACCTGCTTGAAAAAATAAACAATGTCCCATCGAGTTAAACAAATTAATAACTTTTAGCAAATAATTCGATCTACCTTTATGGGTCTCAACCAGGTAATGCTATTAATGAGGTAAACCTATTTTGCCGTTGCAGGTGCATTCCTTGCTTACCGGCCAAAATCACCAATGCTGAGCGGTCCTAAGAAACTACGTGGCGTCACAACGGAGTGGTTCAGATAGGCTGACAGTTAAAGCTAGTGCCAGGTTGACTCAATCCGCCTAAGCAGCAGATGGATTCACGTTAGGGGGGCCGAGGCCCAGCATTCTGTAAAAGGCGGCTGCGAACTGGTAGTGGCGACGGCAGTGGCGGCATCCGTCTCAAACGGGCGTCACTGCGCTACCTCAGTGTGGGCTCCTGAACACCAAACAAGCACTGCGTACATAGCTGTCTGGTTAGGCAACACGGACGGCAACTGAGGGAGCATCGGTTCGCCCGTCGAGACGTGCGTTCGCATAATGAGTCGTTGGACTCATCGCTCGATTGTGATGGGATGAGTGGGAATATGGAATGGGAAACACCCATGCCCCTTTTAGCAAACATCATGCCCCTTAGAGACACATACACACGCCCGGCTTCCACTTACGACGAGCCAGGCATTTGCATCTTACGCGCACAGACACCTACATGCAATAAACCGTGTGTTTTAGGTGCTAAAAAATATTGCGTTTAACCTAGCCACTCGCCTTATCTTCCTATATCCTCTATTTTAGTTTCAATAGTAATACTAGAAACTTATGACAGCCTTTTTCTACTCTGCAGGAAAAAATTAGTGGAAAATTCTCTCATAGTCATAATCGCTTTCGTTACCCTCACAATTATCATCACACTATCTTCACGGTTTGTTCCTTCGCGTCTTCCTTTCTCCGGTTGTCCTGTCGTCTGTCCTTTGTTGGGGATGTACAAACACACCCCACTCACACACGTACGATTATCTAGTCCTTGACGTGATGTTAGAAACTAACAAAAGGTGAACCAGCTGGTGGCATTATCTAACCAAGTATTTGTCGTGTTCACTTTCGGCACTAAACATTTCAGAAGCTAAAACCAGTATTTGGTGATACCCTATATTCTAATTTGTTGTCACCATAAACAGACTGAATACACTGAGCCTTATTATTAATTCTATGTCCGCGTGTTTGTTATACAAAGACTTAATCTTCTAAGTTTATGGTTAGTCAAGAAACATATGTTATGTATATATCGAATAATGCCAGTATTCCTAGAGGAACAAATATTATATAAAAATTCACATTAAATATCTAATGAATACTAATATTTAGTTTTGTCTTCTTAATGCTTTCCACGTAAAAATATGCCGCGCCGCGTATCAAATTTGGATTGTATACGCTTAAGGGCTTCTATGTAGACGCTCTCAGACTTTACAGCGTATGTACATTCTGATAAGGTTTAACCCAAAAAAGACTGATATTCAGGGACTTTAATGGTAAAAGAATGAAAAATAGTATTACGGACTAGATGAGCGGACCAAGTAGTTGTACCAATGTAATATGGATGTTAAAATCAAAAGTGGATTTTACAATAATACCCAGATTCATCTTTTGAGAAATGTAAAATCAATGTAATACAAATGGATTGGGATATTCGTTAACAACAAAAACGAGTTGTCAGTGTGCAGAACGTCTCTATTAACGATGATCGCCTAAAACCTTTAGAAAGCTCTCGCCAAAATAGGAATGATGCAATTGCAAACCTTGATCTATTGCATCTATTATATGGCCATATTTTAAGGAAATATGTATTAATTATGCTAAATACAGCTATCCGCTTGCTCTTTCCTCACTTGATTAGAAGTGATCAACAATACATCGCTATGGTCTTGCCATAACGGGCCGGCCAAGTCTAATCTGCGAGTACGGTCGGAACACTTCAGCAGCAAAATCCTAGGTAAGTGTTTGAATAGAAAGCGACTAAAGTGCCCTGGTAGGAGTACACTCTACGCTTCATGAATTATCATTGGTAGGGATTATAAACGTTGCCAAGAGCAAGCGAATGACGAACTTTACTTGAAACTTCAACAATTGCATCAACAGTACAAGGTAATTAATATAGTGGGAGTATTTCTGGACAAATTCAATAACATCGTTTATCTTAAAGGCAATATCATATTACACTGTTATATTCTGTATATAATCATGTGATTAAATCAGACTATGTTCAACAAATCCTTTTGTAAGTATAGGTTTATGCACATCGAGTGTTTTTAACAGCGACACATAGCCTCTTTGCATTAAGATATATATATGAGTGTAGTAATATATATATTAAAAGCTGTACCTTCAGATTACCATGGACATAGTTTTTTAGGTAAAGTGTTAGCATATCGATTAAAAATGTGTCCGCATCAAAGTACATTATCGAGAAGTTCATTCCAAGAATGCACAATAACTTAAGAACAAGAGCAAGAGTCACCTTCAAATTACTTTTAAATGTCAAAACTAAATTGGGAAAGTTCGACAATAGGGTAACCAGGAATTATAAGCAATATTGGTACAGGCTTAAGGTCGTAGAAAACCCGAGATGGTTAGATTATTAAGGAAAACACACTCCGCCGGAGGGATGAGACGTGCTCCATGAGTCTACATGGCGAATTAGCAGCACTCACCTATCTGAGGTATGTTCATAAAACACGTGTTGTTTACAGGCAAGCTCGGTCACAATATATATTTACACATGTACACGGTTATGGTAGCATTAAGCATTTAAGCAATGTCATACGCAAGTAACCTTGATGTTTACTTTTTACAAGAATAGATGCGTTTGCTTCGGCAAGCTAATGGGTATGTATGTTACGTTTCCCACAAGGCTGTTTTTCTCCTACCCACCTAATGTGAATTGCTCCGAAGGAACATGGGTAAATGTTCCTAAGCAGTCCGAGCTTTACATAGTAGATATTAAAGTCCCGCGGATTAGGTTGAGGTTTGAAAATAGACAGCAATAAATAGTATTGTTTTGCAGCTAGTTAAGGGAGGAACCTGTGATTGGGAATTAGCATCTTTGAACAAAAGTTATATGATGAAAGGAAATTTGGACACGTTTTTAACTTTCACCTGTGAGCAGCAATCCTCTTTCCATTGTTTATATAGAATTTGCCTAGTGGGAAACCGTATAAGGGGCAAGGGCGTAAAACTATGATCGTTGGTTTCATTGCTCCACGTTTCGCATCAGCATGTTGAAACCGCTTTCGCAAATACTGTGAATTGTTTAGGTTAAAAAA